TTGAATTTCACATTTTTTTGGGGCACGAAGCATACGGAACATCCGCTCAAGCGTTAGAAATGGAAGGGAAACGTCCCAATTGAATCAAATTTTTTTTTATTGCCCTTGTAGGCAGACGAGCATACGGCCCACCTGACGGTGAGTGGTTACCGTCACCCATGGACTTCAGCAATGCCAGGGACAAAGCCAAGCCTCTGCCTACCGCTTAATACTCCTTAATTGAGAGGAGATTCAGATAAGATCACTAACCCAGTCCCCGGCTAGACGGCAGCCTATTGGTACTGAGAGAAAAGATCGATCTGTCTTACGTCCTACAGCCTAATTTTTCAACACGATACCCTTGCAGAAATCTTAGCAAGTTATGATCCTGTTGCTGCTCAGCATCGCAGCTATCAATCCTCGATAGCAACAGCAATATGAGTCTGGATATCGCAGGGGCGCCGCTTATTGCGTATGGTCGCCTAAGGTCCTCATCGATCATTATCAAAAGACTCTAAGTCTAGTCTAAAGTCTAGGTCCTTAATTTTTCTGATGGCTACTTGCAATGCTATTTGTGCAATCCAAAATTTGGCCTTCACCATCCTGAATACCACAAAAACGCTATGACGCGTGAGGCGACTGAGGCGATGTTTGTCATATTGTCCAAGTGTAAGCCTAATCCTATACCACATGGAGCTGCGTTAGACGCATCATCTTTTGACAACACGCAACAAAATATTTATATTTATATTTAGAGGCGAAAAAACTAAATCTTTAGAAATTTTCACCACGGCGGTGCGCTGTTTCTATGTTTCTATATTTGGAGGTTCCTGCGGGGGCGAGTATCGCCAAAAGGTGAACAAAAAGAGGGGCAGGTCAAGGCTAGGTAATAAGAAGTAGACGTACCTGCCAACCCGTCGCTCGCTCCTTGCAGACTGCAGAATCCAAGGAACGTGGGTGGACGACGCGTAATGGCGGCGGTCGGCTTGACAGCACTCCTCTAAGTTATTTGTGTTCAAAAAATGGGTATAGCACTCGCACAACGACGAGGATGATCGTCTGTAAAAGTCCGTGAGAGAAAAGTAACAAAAGTCCAAAAAAATATTGAGGTGAAAAACAAGCGACGGGTGCGTGTAGTGTACAAATGCGCGTGGTGCGGTCGGCGACAGTCTTCTTTTTTCTCGTATTAATTCATATTATGAACACGTATGAAAAGGTACCAGCACCGTGTTTATTTCTGTTGCAAAGCAGTCATGCGAACCTGTTTGAAGGGTACGATAGTCCATAGAGTATACCACGAGAATTAGACCACCATCTGTGGATTTCCCCTTAGCACCATGGGCCGTGAGATCGTTCACCGTCTGCAACAAAAAAATTAAAAAAATACAAAAATGTCAACACATTTTTTTTTCTTGACTTATTAGAAATGTGGACCACAAAGCTCCACCCTCCTTAAAATGTAGTTATTCAATCACCACTGCAGTATTATGCTATAATAAAAATATAAATTGGGTAACAATGTCTTTTTACCCAACAATTGCGTTTTTTTTTTTTAACTTTTAAATGACTCATGTTACGTAGGCGTGTTTGACAGCAATAAATAATCTGGTAGTCTGTCAGAACACTATCAAGTTAAATTCAAACACTTCGTGGTGACTGTGGTTCCTAACATTAATAAACCGGTCATTGTACTTTAATGGATATTATAAGTAATATTAAGGATATATTATTATAAGTAAATTCAAATTCAAATTCAAATTCAAAATCATTTATTTCAACTTAGATGTCAGTATGACACACTTGTTGAATGTCAAAATACAAATAACAATGTTAACTCTACCACCGGTTCCAAAAAAAGCCACAGTCCTGAGAAGAACCGGCGAAACAAATTCAGCGGGCTTTTTTTTTTTTGTTTTTTCTCAAATATTTTCTTTTTTTTAAATAAATAGAAATATTCACAATAAAAGAAAAAACAAGTCAAAAAAAATACAATTAAAAAAATTATAATAATAATGAAAAATGAAAAGGCCAGGAGCGAGCGCCTCATTCCCACGTAGTGCCGTCTAGTAAATAATCCTTAACTTTATAATATGCCTTGTTGCACAAACGTTCCTTAACAGTTTTCTTAAATCTATGAACAGGTAGTAATTGAACGTTTAGTGGGATCTTGTTGAAAAGCTGTACACCCAGCCCCCTAAAAGAGTTGCTTATTTTCTTAATTCGAGCCGCCGGCAACGCAAGCCTATGTTTGTTCCTAGTGTTCACATTGTGCAAATCGCAGACTCTGGGGAATTCTTCAATGTTTTTACGCACGTACAATAAATTTTCANGTAATCCGGTCGCCTCGATCTCGACGCGAACGCCTCCGATCACAAGGTGGGCCCCCTGAGGCGGCGCTCTCCGGGCCCCGTGAAACAACAGGGCCTGGGATTTATCGAGCGCCACCTCCAGACCCAGCCTTCGAATCCTGCCGATGACGAAGGCCACCCCCGCGCAGGAAAGACGGGCAGACTCTCGCAAGTCCCTCCCCCGGGCCACGACCAAAGTGTCGTCCGCGTAACAAACTACGCTCAGACCCGGGAGAGGAGCACTTAGGGCGCTACGCAGGACCCAGTCGTAGCCGATGTTCCACAAGATAGGGCCAAGGACCGACCCCTGTGGAACACCGCGCTGGACGGGGAAGCGGAGCACCGCCCCACCGCGGTTATCCTTCCTACCTCAACGCAGGGACATCGATTAATGGTGTGCTTTGACCGCGCGGGCCATTTTGTATGATATTATACAGGGGGGCTAAAAAACTTAATCCATTAGCTTTCTATTATTGACTGAGGTACATCAATTTATACAAGGGTATTAAATTACTTCTCCTTTTTTGAAATTTACAAGTATCTATCATTACATTTTACCAAAAATATTTTCTACTTTTTAACTATCTACGTGCAATGTATGAACATTTCCTCACACGATAAAATCATGTATCCGATTCAGACATTCTATATGTAGAGGACGGGATGCTGGTGGGGGAGGGGTTACTCTATCAGGGTATTGATGGTAACAGTTTTAGTGACATAAAAAAGGTTTAAAGGGCAGCGTTACTGAAAGAGAGGGAGAGGGAGAGAGAGAGAGAGAGGTGAGAAAGCTCCTAATAACAATTTTGACTCAATTATGTGAATATTAAGTCTCTTAGTTCTTATAACCGAAGTCCATTAAACGCTGCATTTATTTAATGAATCCTCCGAAAAAAATACTAACAATTCTGTGTCTACGTTCCAGGATGGAATCTGCAGCCAAAGGTCTGGTCGAGGCCTATGAGCATGCTAAAAGTGGCGAAACTTGGATCATCACAAAAAACAAACCGGCGAAGAACATCACTGATACAGTTAAAAAGGCTTATGAACTTTTATCGGATCACGTTTTCAATTGAATGTTTTTTAAAGAAGAAATAAAGAAGAAATAATAATTAATAATGTGGTTGTTTTTTTTTATAGCTTAGATGGGTGGATGAACTGACTGTTCCTCTGGTGTTAAATGAGTACCAGTACGGGCAATAAAAAAAAACTCGAGACCTCATACGCTTCACTCGGGTTGCTGCCAAAACACTCTGATCATATATAATAAGAATAGAGTAATGGTAGGCCATTGAGATTTTTACTAAGGAATCAATAATATCTAAAAATATTCAATAATTCATGATTTTAAGTAATAATTATTATTAGAATATATAAATATTACGGTACGAAGTTTACGACGAATTATGAAAGAGCTAGGCTTCAAATGGGAAAAAAACTGAAAATAATCGGAAGCTGATAATTGGAAAAAGTAACATTCGATTACTACGAATCGAATATCTTCAAAAAATAATTAAATATAGACAAGAAAGAAGTCCGATAGCTTACACCGATGAGCCCTATGTCGACTCATCACGATGTTATCGACTCGGGTGATGAAACCAGTGATGATGATGATTGTCAAGATTATGATAACAAAGAAAAAATGACAAATACCAGCTTCGTTTCAACTGAACCAAGACCTGGCGCATGACCTAGTTTTGACCTAATAGAAGGAATGTCTATTTTACCCCAAGATTACATGATTACGATTATTAACCTATATTTTTTGTTGATGTTCTTATAAATATATAAATAAATACATATGTTGTATTTAATACCTTAATAGAATTATGACACAAAGTAAATAATGCTTTTGTAGATGAGTGTACTATGCGCAAACTTTCCCCCACTAGGTCAACTAATGCTCAAGAAGCTTGCCGGCTATTAAGCCTTGTTCGGACTATGATGGGACATGAGGATCTTAATTCTATGTATAAAGCCTTGTTCGGACTAGGCGAGTATTTTAGTCTAGTACCGAGTAATTTAGTAGCTAAATGTGTCTGAACACCAAAAATTTTGTCGAGTAGGTTAGTAAATAATTTAGTCAAGTCAATCCATATTGTTCTATTTTTTCGGGCGAGTAGCGCCTCCCACCACGCGTCCTTGCTCACTAGCTCATTGACTAAGCAAGTCTGAACCTGTTGATTAGTCGAGTTCATTAGTGGCACTTCTCAAATGGGTATCTTTGCGCTGAATTTGAGAGTGTATTTTCGTTAACAGAAAATTCACACAACTTTCGGACACTCTCAAACTATCGAAGTATTTTTTGGGATCTCTTCCAATGCTAATTCCTTCAAAAGACATTTAGTAGCTCCCAGTTTATCTCTTCTATAGATCCATTTTCGTACCAATATCTTATTTTTCTTAATCACAGAAATTTCCTCATGCGCCTCTTCTAAAATAGCCATTACGATTAGCTTAATCAGTTTATTCACTCTATTGCGTTGCAGCCTGTTCATCTTGCAAAACACCACTCACTTGTGTACCCTACTGGACCGTAATGCGAACGATTTCTGTACAGTAGCGAGTAGTTTAGCCACAAAATTACTCGGTACTCGACTAAAATACTCGCCTAGTCCGAACAAGGCTTTATACATAGAATTGAAATCCTCATGTCCCATCATGGCGCCATCCACATTGTGACCTGCACATTGTTCGCTGTCTATATAATAAAATAACAAAAAGCTACTTCTTTTTACTTTGTGGTGTTGTTTAGTTAACGCCAAGAGGATCCGGACCGAGTATTTTGCCTTGAAAACTTGTTCTTCGTGATTGTTCGTTAATGACGACTATAAAATGTTTTATCGTTTTAACATCATCCTATTAAATCAGTAGGTATCATTGCAAGTGCGCTCAACAGACGTGTTATAAAAATACCATCAATGTATTTGGGACAAGGATGTATATTTCTAGTTCTATGACTAGTATTTGAATAGATATCCACAAACTAATTAAATGGGAAAAAAGCGAAAGTTTCAATATATTTTTTGAATAAACTATTATTGAAATGTACGATTTAAAAGATAAGGTGGTCATTATTACTGGTGGTGCTAATGGGATAGGAGAGAGCTTTGTCCAGAATTTACTCGAAGAAGATATTAAGGTTAGTGTTATAGATGGAACTAAATAATTTCCTGGAACTGACATCATTAAAATGCATTTAAATGTGATTTATTAAACATTTACTTAAGGAATTTACTATCTTTTATTTATTATATTCAATTTGCAAATACAAAAGTACTCATTTGCAAGTTCATAATATAGGGAATATTTTCTCGAAAATACCTCTATACATTTTTAATATTTATACATATAATTCGGTAATTTATAATTTTATCCCACTGATAAAATTATGAATATTCCAGTTTATTGCAATTTTGGACACTGATGTCGAAGCGGGTGAAATGCTTCAGGATAAAATGATGACTGAATATGCTAATTCGAAAGTAAAATTCATACAGTGTGACGTCACTGTCGATGAAGAACTTTTTGGGGCTTTTGATGATGTTGTCAAAGAAATCGGATATATTGATCTAGTTATTAATAATGCTGGGATAGCCAATGAATCAGATCCAAAAGCAATAAGAAAAGAAGTTGAGGTTAATTACGTAAGTATTATGAAGATGCTAAATGCAAAACGAGATGGATGGAGTGGATTTCAGTTGTTAAATATGCACCCATAATCTGCTCTTTTTAATGGTGATCTTTATTCTATATATCTATTTCATTTTACGGTATGCGAGTTAATTATTCGACCATTGAATCATTTTACTATAAGACCTAAGCTCTCGACATTAATAAAACATCCGGATATTTCCGGATTGTACTAATAGCTGATCGAACTATATGCATAATCTTCAAATATGTATACATCATGAGACGTCAATCTTCATGAATTCTAACTACTCCATCATCATTAAATAGTAGCAGTATTACCATGGTATATCGAAGCACACCTTACCAACGTACGGTTGATTATATGTAAATGGAAATTAATGCAAACAAGGTCAGACGATTAAAGAAAAAAAGGGACTAATCGTAAAACTAAATCAAATCACAACGTGAATACGGTTCGAAGAAGAAGTGACGAAGAAGATCCTTATGTAAGTAAAAGCTTGTCGACAGTCGAACAATTAGTGAAAAAAATATTATTGCATTCCAGATTGCTCTTGTAAATGGAACATTGAAATCCTTAGAACTTATGCGCAAGGACAAAGGCGGTAACGGAGGAACGATTGTGAATATTTCATCTATTGGTTGTATGTGTCAGCATGCACCAGCTTTATTTGTTTACATGGGGACAAAGAGTGCTGTGTTGCAATTTAGTAATTGCATTGGGGTGAGCGCTTCCAGTGTTATACAATTGTTGTCATTTAAAAACAAAGTTAAAGTGATTTACAATTTAAAAATTTAATTTGCAATAGTCATGACCTGCTTGCTTATGGAAGTTTTACCAATTAAAAGAAATTGTAAGAATTCTAAATTTTGTACTCATCAACATTTTTGTAATTGTAGAGGGAAGAATATTATAGTAAAACAGGAGTGCGCATTCTAACTGTGTGCTTTGGAATCACAAAAACTGGCATTTACAACAACCTCAAAAGTTTTGATGAAAACATTAACAAAGATATGCAACAGATTATAGATTTATATCCTATGCAGTCGTAAGTATGCGTATAACTTAAGTCCCCAGATGAATTTAGTTTTCCAAGAATGCTGATGTTGTATTAAAATATCAGTAATCTAATGCTTCGTTACTTGTATCAACAGATGTGACCGTACCGGCGTCGAGATCCCGAGTCTAATACCTTTTAAAACCTGAACTAAAACTTCAAGGTTTTGACACTAATTATTTTCATATTGCATAATCTTGAATCCGCTCCAACCACGCTCACGTCCCCTGATAAACTGCTTGGTGTTAAGTGGTTAACCTATTAATTCACAGTAAGTTCTGTTAATTATTTTATTAATTAATGTTCAATATTAACAGAAAAGAGTCAGCAGCCAAAGGTGCGATAGAAGCAATCAAGAAAGGTGAAAGCGGTAGCACCTGGCTTGTAGCTAAAGATAGCCCAGCGGTCGATGTGACATCAAATGTAAACAAAGCCTATAAGATATTGTCAGAGCCTTTAGTTTAGGTATTTTGAAACTTACTTAAAATACTTAACTCTTTCATTCAATACATATATTTATTTAGTCAATATCAAAATTCATCCAATATTAACTAATTGTTTTTTTGTTAACGTAATACTATCGTTTGTAGCTACGATAATATCCGAAGGGAATTATTAATTGTATAAATAAATAAATAAACGAAAGATTAAATCTTACGAGTGTTTTTCTAATTTATGTCTGGAACTTATAAAAACTAGAGAATGGAAGTTATAAAACGGTTTGGGAAATCGAATACATTCCAAGTTTGGACGTCTTTTCTGGATGTTACTGGCTCTTAAATTGCTACCATAATCATAGAAAATGTAATGCCACCCCTACCTGATACGTAGGGTCGAAGGACAGCCAATTCTTTGGATTTAAAAAAATTGGCTACATCAAGAGGAGAACTAACCGTTCATCCAATTGAAAGAAGTTTTTGCCACGTCATGAATAAAGTTAAGGGCTATAGTCACAGCATCTCATAAAAGTCCCGTTGGGTTTAGGGCACCAAAAAGAGTTAGATTCTAAAACCTAAGTGTACGTTCCCCAGATTGAGAACCTTTGTCTGTTTCTACATTCCAATCTCACAACAAAAAGTAAATAGCGTGCTAAATAAATGTATTTTCAATACTTCAATTTGTGGTGACAGTTGTTCAAATAACATATTAAGTGTAGAGTATTTTGCGATAACTATTTAAATAGCTACTAGCGTTCAATACAGTAGTCACATTTAAGGTATTATGAGTGAAGTAAACGACAAAGTTGTAATTGTTACGGGCGGTGCTAATGGCATCGGTGCGTTTAGTGTTGAAGTATTTATTGAAAATCAGGCCAAGGTTAGTATAATTTTGGAGTTTTTGAATAATACAAGTTATTGAAATTTGGAACATCTTTTCATGATTTTCTATAAACGAACTTGAGTTTCAAAGGCTAAGGTGACATCGAGTCATAAGACTCAATTACTCACTTATTGCTGATGCAATATCTACCATCAGTACAAAATAATTAGGGGGTTTGGGAGTAAAACACTGATACTGTAGTTAGATGAATATGATTATCGTGATTTACAAAGACAAGCGGAAACTAAAATACACCTATTTCGAGTCTAATTCACGCAAATAAATTAATTTTAGCATGTTGCCATCCTGGACATCGACACAATTTCCGGATTCAAATTGGAAAAACATTTAAATACTAAATATGGAGATGGAAAAGTAAAATTTTACAAATGCGATGTCTCTATTGATGATCAATTGTTTGGTGCGTTTAATAAAGTTCTAGACAGCCATGGTTATATTGATGTAGTTGTGAATAACGCTGCTGTTTCGTTGGAAAATTCTCTTGAACGTATTCGAAGATTAGTTGACATAAATGTTGTATCTTAAAACTATATTCATCTTCGGTTACGCAAGTCGACTTAATTAAAACGATTGAATGTCGCATTTATTATTTTCATGTTATTGTGCCGTTTCAAATAATTTAGAGTCGCCGTGATCATACAAAAATTATACTATAATACGAATAGATCAATTACTGTTATCAGAATTAGAAATAAATAAAATTATAGTATTTTCTTCGGCTTTCCAGAGTCTTAGTTAAAACATGGTTAAACTATTTTTGCGAACTTAGTTTTCGACGGTGACCAGGCGGTCTTCCGTGACCACGAAAACTGTAAAGTATTTGAAGCGACGGAACTAATTAATGAAATGTACGACAAGGAATAATAATAATAGCAAGATTAATCCGTAAAGTGGTTTTTGCGGATTAATTTAATTTTACATATACTAGTCCACTACAAATTACATACCGACCCAGACGACCGAACCACAGTTGCCGTCACCCTAGAAGGCGTCATGTTGGATTCTGCCGATCGGTGCTGTTTAAGCATTCCAAGCACCAGTCACTCTTCTCATCGAAGCTCTCGAATGCAACGAAGGATTCTTCGTCCAATTTAACCCACACAGCCCACTGAGTTTCTCGCCGGTTCATTCAGTGGGTCGCGATTCCGATCCGGTAGTATCCTGACAATGCGATAATTTGGATCAATAAAGCCAAAATTAAATTGTAAAAGTGGTGTTAATTAAGTCTACGAATCTCCAAGACTGAAGAAGCATTCAATCCCAATCGTCCCAATGAACAAATCTACTTATTGTGTTAAAGATATAACTGATGAGGTAAATTCAGTCTTATTTCATTGGATTTCTTCTGTTTCGTTTTAGACCGCCTTGGTCATGAGCACATTGAAAGCTATCGAAATAATGCGTGTAGATAAAACAGGGAAAGGCGGTACGATTATAAACATCTCGTCTATAGCAGCGCTCAAACAATTTTGTCCCAGTGTCTTTGTTTACTGCGGCACGAAGAGCGCAGTCTTACAGTTCAGTAATTGTATTGGAGTAAGTTGAACATACGTCAATTTTTTTTTTCGTAGTATCTAATAGCAGGCAAGCATTTGGCCCGATAAGGCGAGATGGCTATGAAGGTATACATTACAACAAGAATGACATCATCCATCTTTTAACATAAAGTCAGTCTTTATTAAAATGAGTGGAAACTGGAACAGTAGTTGATCAGCAGAATGAAACTGCAAGATTGTATTACCTGTTGGCTAATCAAAAATTCTCTAAATGTTGTTTCTCCTTAAGTTTGTATATTATACCTTTAATTAACATACCCATTTCACTAAAATATTTTCTATCTAATACTGACTACGAGTGTTGCCAGGAAGAACACAAAGCTATCGATGATACCAACAACTGCACATATTCAAAAGAAAAGTTCAATGAGAATAATAATATTTTTAACATTTTCAACAGAAACAAGAATATTTTTCTAAAACAGGCGTAAGAGTAATAACGGTGTGCTACGGTCCAACAGACACTGACTTAGTTCCGTTGATGATCAATATCGATGACAGCATCAATCCTGAAATTCGCTCTAACATTGATGCCCAGAAATTACAAACGTATGTTTTTTTTTATTATGCTTAGACGAAGAGGTGAGCTCACGGTCTGCTTGACGTTAAATAGTAGTGGATAGAAATGGAAGATAAAAAACCAAAATTACGTGGCATTATCGTATCGTAAAATTTACCTATATTAGTTTGAAGTGTGGACCAGCTGGTATAGAGTAAAATTATTGTTAATATGATACTGGTGGTAGGGCTTGTTGTGAGCCCACACGTGTAGGTACCGCCGCCCTGCCTATTTCTGCCGTGAAGCAGTAATGCGTTTCGGTTTAAAGGATAGGGAGGCCGTTGTACTATAAAACTGAGATACAAAGCCCACGTTCTAAGATAGGTGGCTGCTTTTACGTTGATGATGCCTGTGAGCTCCGGTAAATAGTTAACACCAGGGGTTTGGAGGCTCGTCTATCCCTATAGTTAACTAAAAAAAACAAATATGTAGTAATAATATTTCAGGGCGGAATCAGCGGCACGTGGTCTCCTGGAAGCCTACAAGAATGGTGCGAGCGGTAGTACTTGGCTTGTATTTGACAGCAAAGTTACAGAAATCACATCTAATATAGACAGAGCCTACGATATAATGTCGGAAAATTTTACTAAGTAGTTCAGAGTCCTATTATTGTTTCGTTATCGACATAATTCATATTCAACAGTTTTAAACCAACGCACCTACAGAATAGGTAAACTATTCAAACTTTAGTTTTGTTTGCACTTTAGTACCTACTTCCTTAATGTTGATACTGTTTTGAGAATTGGTGGGAAATAAACAAAATAAATACCTAAGATTGTGTTTTGTTTATAATAGTTTCTGAGTGTCGAACTGTATCAAGTCTCCATTCCGTAATCTTTAATCTATATCATTTTAAAACCAGGTCAGCAGTAAGTAAATAGATTAGACGGGGAAAAAACGAAAACACTTTAAATAGCACACATAAATCTATGATATGACCTGATAAATCTATGACTTCTATAACTTAATGTTTGATATCGGTCACGTTTATGATCAGGTGTTGTCGTCAAATCATCAATTTATACATTTTTCTTTGCTTTAATTCTCGTATGACGGTAAATAATAGCAAAGAATAGTTTTCTATCAAAACTTTTTTTTTCAGAATAACTAAACGGTTATATAAAAAAAAATTTTTTTTCAAACCATTACCGAAGACCCGCCGACAGCTCCCGAACAAACCCGAGCGTTTGTGACGTCATCATTTTAGTTGTAGCATACAGTATGCCTAGTGAGAGTTTTTAACGTTCCCGATAGCGTAAAAATTAACTCAAATTTGTATGGAGTTGGAATGATTGACTATGTTTGCCGCAAAAAAAAATTATCGCTTAGATGGGCGGACGAGCTCACAGCCCACCTGGTGTTAAGTGGTTACTGGAGCCCATAGACATCTATAACGTAGATGCGCCACCCACCTTGAGATATAAGTTCTAAGGTCTCAAGTATAGTTACAACGGCTGTCCCACCCTTCAAACCGAAACGCATTAGTGCTTCACGGCAGAAATAGGCAGGGTAGTGGTATCTACCCGTGCGGACTTACAAGAGGTCCTACCACCAGTAATAGGGCTAGGGGCGCTGTTCCAACTGCGTACAAGTTTGAGTTAACATTTACGCGATCGTTAAAAAACTCTTACTAAGCACACAGAGGTAATAAGTACAGTGTTTTGTTTTGGATCTAATAAATTCTGTTGTCATTGTTAAATACTCAAAAATATTATCGAAAATGTCGAACCTCAAACGATATCTTCTCTTCTCTGTATCATTATGTACGAATGTTACAAAACAACTCCCGAAAAAATGTTTTTATATGTTCCACAAGATGAAAAATATCGAAAGAAATAGTTTCAATCAGTGCACCGAGATTATCTCAAAACAAAATCGTTTTTTTTTGTTGTGAAAATCATTTCAATGCATTTCATATAATATCGTTATTATTAATTATTATTTATCTAAGTGTACAGATAATTTTTTTAACTTCCATTTATCTGAAAGTTGATATGGGTATAACAAATCATTCATGAAATTTAGAGTGAATCGTCAGCAAAAGATACTGGAACTGGTAATTATCAAGAAGTAAATATCGTACCGATACCGTATCAGTCAATACTGTTGAACATATAGAAGTCCATTAAGCTTCTTTAACATTCAACAATTTCAACATCTGACCTAAAATTTAGTGTTTGGTCATTTTAAACTGACATTAAAAACCGCACCGTTGCTGTATATGTAAGTGGATAGTCGTCCTAAGTATGCAACTTGGTACCTCGAATTCCGGAAAAATAAAACAGACAGTCATTTAAAAAAAATTGTAATCATAAATATCAGGAATATTATTCGAATTTACTTCTATAAATCCTTTTTCACACATTTTTCTTCTTTCTATTTACTATAACAAATCGTTTTTTATAGTAAATTGGAGAAAGCCCTAGACGCTGCCAAAGATTAATAAATAGTTAGGTACTACGCTGCACAGTTTTTTGTTTAATAAACTCATTTTTGTTTATAAATAATTTAAAAAAAAATTTATCTTTCTGCATTAAATATCAATAAAAAAAGTTTTAAAAACATAAAAAAACATATTTTTTTTAATAAAAAAAAAACAAAATTTTTTTTATTCAGAATCCCATTTCAAATTTCAACTTCGTGTCTCTTGGTGAGTCGCTGTATTCTGCCGTACACAGGCTGTGACATCTATGAGCTCCGATATCTCCTTTATACCAGATGGGCTGTGAGTTTATCTTTTTTTTATTGCTGAGAGGGGTGGACGAGCTCACAGCCCACCTGGTGTTATGTGGTTACTGGAGCCCATTGACATCTACAGCATAATGCCGCCACCCACCTTGAGATATGAGTTCTAAGGTCTCAGTATAGTTACAACGGCTACCGCACCCTTCAAACCGAAACGCATTACTGCTTCACGGCAGAAGTAGGCAGGATGGTGTTACCTACCCGTGCGGACTCACAAGAGGTCTTGTCTGCCGATCTAGAGCAATAGAAACGTCACATTAGTTCACATCCAAGTGCAATTTTCTGTAGGTTCTTATTTCAAACCACTAAAATGTCACGCAAGTGGAACCGCGAGAACCTCTTAGTATATTATCATATCTTTGAGAGTTAGCGGGCCAAGGCGCATTTACCTAACCTTGCTCATGTACTAGCATTAGTGCATTGAGAAATCGCGGTCCGTGCGTAGAATTACAAAAGTCAAGTAACAAGCCAATTTAGTTTGTATCGAACACTACGTCTGCAAGACCGTCTTTTAAAAAAATATACTAAAGTTTTAGTTTTGATGCTACTACGCATCTGTTTTAATTAGATATCAAATTATCTTTATTTAGTTCAAGCGGTTCGTTTATATTTGATGTGGCTGTGAGATAAGGAGGAATAACATTCTGTTCATCACTAAACACAGTCTTTGAAGGAATTGTCCTTAGCATGTATGATTTTAAAGAAAAAGTTGTTCTGGTAACTGGCGGAGCCGCAGGCATCGGTGCTGGGGTAGTCGAAGCGATACTGAAGGAAGGCGCCAAGGTGAGTAAAGTAGAATAGAGAAAATATGCAAATAGTTAATGCAATGTGCGTTCATAATATCAATATTATTGTTTAAGCTGCTTAAGCAGCTTAGTTTAGCACACATACGTTAGTACAAATTGTTCTGATATTGAATACTAATCTATATATTAATACATACGTGAAGCAAAAACTTTGTACCCCTTTTTACGCAATTTGCGCGGACGGAGGAGTATGAAATTTCCCACACTTATAGAGAATATAGAAAAGGAGTGCAGAATGATAATATTTTTTTTAATTATGCATAAAAAATTCATTAAATCAATAAAGAAAACATTAAACACACACTACCATGTATTTAATAATAATAATAAGTCTTGCTCGACAATGCCCGTATAGTTCGCCGGTTTCTCTCCCAATAGTCTCTAACGCTCCGGCCGATTGTTGCCCACCTCGTCGGAGTGTGTCCTGCCGTCTTCCCAGGAGTGGCAGTGTTTAATACAGAATAATAATGATAATAAATTTTTATTTCAGAATTAAATTCCATATGAAGTGTTAGTAATACGAAAAAAAAGTACATTTTATTTATTTTATATTATATATTTTATATTATACACAACACATATACACACACATATACCCTGCGTTTCTTATCAAACCTTTGTTATTGTTGAAAGTCTGCGGTCAAATTGAGAATAAATTAATATTGTTTGTCTTTAATATTATTTATCTATAGTGTAGTTATGGCGAAATCTGTAATTATATCAAAAAATTCGAAAAGTGATTGACAATAGAAGCATAACAATGTTTATAAAGAAAATTTCAATTAATTATAGTCGAATTTCGACTACTACGGGACCACTAGTACTAAGAAAATTTATAACTTTAACTGTGATGAAAAAAATTAGAATTCCTCAAAAGAAAACCTAACAGGCAAACCTATCACGAGAGGCTCAGCTGAACTATGTCACTCATAACAAAATCGAACTTAAAAATGCATCTTCTCATATTTAGAGATGATTAAGTATCAAAGTTGTTTTATTGAAACGCAGGCTTATTAGTGCGATCAAAACGATGATTTTACAGGAACGATTTCTTCTAACCAATATATACATTTATATATTTAATTGCATCAAATTAAGCTTTAAAAGCCGGACAACTTTAACTGAACTTGTAGACATCACAAACTAGCAGCACCTTCAAGATGAATCATATCATCAATGATGATCATATGAAGTGAAAGCTTTAACCGTACTGCTAAGCTAAGACCAGACCTTATACTGCAGTGCAGAAATGACAATTGTGGTAGTGTCAACCCATGACAATGCGTCCTACGATTTCCATAATTACTATTATTTTATTACTATACGAAAAATCAGGGAGAGAGGGCGAAAATTTTTTAGGAATTGGGAAGTAGATGATAGTGCAACTATTATGTCTGTTCACGTTACAGCATATCGCAGCATTAGATGTGGATTCAGTTAACGGGAAAATCCTTGAAGACGAACTAAACAACAATTATAAAGGAAATAAAGTGAAGTTTTATAAATGCGATGTTACCAGCAATGATTTGGAAACGGTATACGATAATGTGATCAAAGAACATAAATATATAGACGTTGTCGTGAACTGCGCTGGTATAATGAATGATAGACCTAATGTATATCTAAAAGAGATAGCTGTTAATGTGGTAAGTAATTGAAAATATTTTAAAAATATCTTCAGACAGCTCTTTGCATCTTGCGATTATTTGTTAATTATTTAATATTTTACGTTATGTAACCTAATTACCGTAGAAAATTTCTCCCTTGGCTATAAAGGAAAAACAGAAGACTATAAGTACTTATTTGAGTTGAAATTTTGCTTTTGGTAATTTACATTACGACTGTCCAGAAATACGATTTTGAAAGAAGAAAATGTAAATAATCAATACAAATACAATATTTAGTTCCAATAAGTGTTTCCTTATAGCAGATGTTCATAATACTCAACCATATTATTACGTATTTTAAAATCAAATGAGTAATTAATCTATTCTTTTAGACTGCTCTGATAACAAGCTCGTTCAAAGCCTACAATTTGATGCGCAAAGACCACGGCGGCAAAGGGGGAACAATAATTAATATTTCGTCTATCGTTGGATTATTTCAAGCAAGTCTTTTGCCTGTGTATGCGTCCACCAAAAGCGCAGTTTTGCAATTCAGTACTTGTTTGGGAGTAAGTATTTGTTGTTTTTTATGACCGTGGAAAAAATAAGCCTATGATTTCTAGAACCCACAGCCATGAGACTAGAGCTACCGCTCATTTTATCAAGGTATAAATTTTAATTAGAATTAAACTATCACTTCGTCGAAAAAAATAATAATAATAACAAAGCCGTGGATTGGTTAATCGTTAATCGCCGGTATTTTGTTATTCAATAACATATCTGAGATTAGACATATAGTGAGAGATTAGATTATTAATAAGATTAAGATCTTCAGGATTTATGCTAGCTTTAAATTATTATTGAGATTATCATCATTGGTAATGTTATGCTAATTTCTCAATTTTAATAAGTTTTTTTAACCTACCTATTGACTGGTAGCCTAATAGGCTATTCTAGCTACGTCCGGGCGGGTAGGTGAGATCACGGGCTCAACCTGAGAAAATTTGCTAACACTAGCAATAGGAAGAGCAGTGCTTTGCAGAATCCACGACCCAATTGGAATTGCGACCCACTGAGAATATCCGTCGAGAAACTCAGTGAGCTTTTTATTTGTCTGATTTTAGCTATACCTACTTATTTTCAGCCAAATTAGAATTTATTGGCACATAGTTAGAATTCGCAAGCAAAAAAACATGTTAGCCTTCTCAGCAAAGAGTGTGATTTGTTAATTTATCTATCGTAAGGCAACACTTTGGTTGGTACATGTAATGTGTACAAGAATGTGCCCTTCTTTAGATTACGTTGGGCCATACATTGTGCTACGGTTCACTTGCAAATGTCCACATTTCTGATCCAATATCGAAGGGAAATTTTCATAATTAATTTTTATTTATTTCAATTAACCTTTTCAAGATGGAGCCGCATTATAGTCATTCTGGAGTCAGGGTGCTTACACTGTGCTTCGGCTGCACCGACACCACATTATTCAGCAGTAACAAACTCGGAGCATTTGACAAAGAAACTGAAATGTTATTAGAAGACAGTATCGGAACATTACCCATGCAGAAGTATGTGGACTTATTTGCTCATTGATCTAACTTGATCACTTATTTGGTCATCTCTCACTTTTATTACTTCACACCTTCTTTACTGATGGTAGGACGTCTTGTGAGTCCGCATGGGTAGGTACCGCCATCCTGCCTATTTCGGCCGTGAAGCAGTAATACGTTTCGGTTTGAAGGGTGGGGCAGCCGTTGTAACTATACTGAGACCTTAGAACTCATATCTCGAGGTGGGTGGCGGCATTTTCGTTGTAGATATAGATGAGCTCCGGTAGCCACTTAGCACCAGGTGAGCTGTGAGCTCGTCCACCCATCTTTGCAATAAAAAAGCCCAGTCAAGACTAGTTCGAGATCGCCTCATAAAAATATTCAAATCCATTTTTATTTGTTCTATATGAATTTATAAGTCAGTAAGCCGATGGTGATGAAATTTGGTATAGCTATTGTTCGTACTCAGCCAAAGGCTTCCGTCATGGCACAAGTAGTTTGAAGAATTCGATATTTTTCACACATTTTTCGATTTATAGAATTTTGTTTTTCTTTGTCTTTTGCAAACTATACTACTTTTACGGATAATCTCGTGTTTTTTTAATTCTATATAATGACAATAAAAACGCAAAATATTTCCAATGTTTCGAGTACTTGACATGACTAAAGTTGTTTTTATGTATCTAGAGTAGTTCTAATTATACAGAATAGACCCATTTTTTAAAACTACACACGCGACCCTAATTAGTGGTTCTAATTATACAGAATAGAACCATTTTTTTAAGCTGTGTGGTTTAGTCGTGCCCCGTCTTATGCTGATGATATTAGGAAAAAACCTTCTTCTTTCTTTGCTTGGTTTGCTAATCAGTATTATAATAAATTTTATCACAACAGAGACAAACGTTCAAGGAACGGATAGATGACAAACATAAAAACATACCATTTTAAATATATTGATATCTTTGACCTCATATCGCAAGGTCACAACACATTATTTATTTATTTATCATAAATCAACATAATAATATAATAACATAAATAATATCACCATTATGCTGGAGTGGTTCATAGTTTGGAGTTAGCTACATCTCATTATGTGTGGTGCAACTTGAAGCAAATTATTTAGAGAATTAAATTAAAATGTTTTTTTATTTCTTTTTATTTATTGCTTAAATGAATGGATGAGCTCACAGCCCACCTGGTATTAAGTGGTTACTGGAACCCATAGACATACACAACGTAAATGCGCCACCCACCTTGAGATATAAGTGCTAAGGTCTCAAGTATAGTTACAACGGCTGCCCCACCCTTCAAACCGAAACGCATTACTGCTTCACGGCAGAAATAGGCGGGGTACCTACCCGTGCGGACTCACAAGAGGTCCTACCACAATTAAAAAATATTCAGGTGATATATATTCAGGTGAATATTAGAATTAATCTTAATCCTTTTGTTTCGGCTATAATTCAACACCAAATGTTTGGTTACAGACCTGATTCCGCCGTCAATGGCTTGTTAGATGCGTACAGAGACGGTAAGAGTGGTAGTACCTGGTTGATCACCGCCGACAAACCAGCAGAAGACATCACCGAAAACATTACAAAAGGATTCGAAATCATGAGCAGAGGTGTCTTCTGTTAATTGAATGAGAAAATTAAGGGGTTCATTTATAAATTAAAGCCGTATTAATATTTATCTAGAACTTATAATAATTACGTTTGTTAAAAGGCAATTGAGCTCTATTATGCAATCTTGAATAACACTTTTTGATACTTCCTCTAACGAGCTTATAAGACTCTAATAACTCATTATAAATAAAGTTATTAATGTTTAAGACCAACATGCTTAATGTTTAACAAAGTAATACGCAATATCCAGACAAATACTTTGATGCTGAATTATCTTTTGTTTTCACTTATCGGGGGGCTAAATGCGTAAACAAACGTCGTATGACGATTATGATAATAATTAATTCTTATGTACCATTATAAGCATTGTGAATATCGAATAATAGAATAGAATCATTTTTAAATTTGAAGCGTTTTTAAATTCGTTCCTTACTCGATTTGGAGGGTTCTGGAAGATTGCAATCCTCGAAAATTAGGAAGGCAACATGAGGAGAGTATGGCTATGGATAAGAGTAGGTCAGAAAAATAAAACAACATCAAATTACATGCGGTAAATATTTTTTATTTTTAAAAACTTTTCCATTATTCTTCATAACAACTTTCTCTGAACGTGAAATAAATCATCTCTGCTTATATTCTATTATCCATCATTATTGTCTTCCGGGATATTATCTTGATTAGTTATATAACTTTTGAAATCGTCTGATATGCCGTAAATTAACTACGATTTTCTGTTAAAAGAAATCTTGTAATCGCATACATTATGGAAGACGATACGAATGCTCTAATCAAATACTAAAAGTAACTTATCGTACTATTCGAAAAAACGGGAAGACTTTTTCAACGTTACGCAGTAGACCAGGGATTGTAAAGTGAACAACGTTAACAATACACAATTAGTATTTAAAGTTCAAGAAAAACTTCATGTAATTATTTGAGTCAGTATCCTTCTCTTTCTATCAATGCGTATAAAGCGCGGAGCGTCGAAATACCGACTATTGTGCAATTTGATCTGTACGTACGTGCCTTATCGTGCGTATGTCGTTTAATGTTTGTATTAAGTCAATAAAATTTATAAATAACTAAAATTATTTTGCTGTGGATTTAGGATTGAGTTTTGTTTTTTTTTAAGTCAAAGTTTTTTACTTTTTTTTTAAAATCCTTTAGCGAGTTCTTGCAAAATATGTGGAAATAAGTTCAGCACTAATAAGGATAATTGAATCGGGCTGATCAGTTTGTTTTTGGAAACTAATTTATCTATTATTTTATTTATATTCTTATTTTAATCGCATTAGATAACAAAGCATATATTCAAATAATGTTTCAAATAATCTGGTTGAGGGTAGTGTCATACTAAAGGTGTATAGATCATCTGATCATACACCTTTAGTACGACACTAATAGATTCTATTCCTGTTACCTGTAACCACTTTATCGGGTCTCACCAACAATATCGGCTGTCTTCGTATTAGGCAAAGACTCCTTCAGAACCGGTTTATCTTTGATCTAATGGAAGACGAGTAGCCAAGAGATTAAGCGCGGTCTCCTGTGACCTTTTTTTGTTAGAAATATGTTATGTAACATTGTATGTACTAATCGCATTGCGTCATACAAGAACGAACAATGTTTGTAAAAGACAAAAAAAGTAAACATTAGAACAAAACACATGAAGTAAATCTTTGTTATCGTGTTTGAAGAAGAAAAATAAATGTAGTTTACTTAAATTCATTAGGGTTTAAGCTATGTTGCGATTATTTATGTTACGAAATATGTACATTAGGTATTATTATTTTTCCTACAATATCTCGGTAGAAAACTCCGGGCGCTAATATTTACCGGGAAAACAGAGGACAAGAGGACAAGAGGCCAAGAGCAAGGAATTTATTGTGATGAATTATAGACCTCGAACATCAACGTTGTCGAGACGGTATGAATTACTGTAATTCGAGAATGATTGGAGAAAATTGTATAGTAAAAGCTTGAGTCGTGACTCCGATATTGGAATCGACACAAGAATTTGGATCGATCGAAAAACCCAAGGCTCATCTAGTTTTAATCGGTTACCTAAACCAGTAGATATCACAACGTAAATACTACCTACTGCCGACAGTTGATGCAGAAACTATGAGTACAGTCTGGATGCCAAACACGATTCTCGAATTAACAAAAACAACAAAAATAGTATCCTTTAAATTTGAACTTGGATTATGAATTTATCAGGACAGTTTGGAGTTTTAGTGTCCTACCGCCTCTAAAACAAACCATTTGAGACTGTCGTCACAACACAGTTTTTAATAGCGAACTAGCGGGACCTGGAAAAAAAAAAGAAATTTCGAATCTGATCGCAGATCGGTTTGCAAACCTAATAGATTAAGATCCCAGGGCCCCCAGACGTCACGTATTTTCTGACGAACGAAATGTGGCCGATTGCGTAGTGTTAGTATCTATGTATGTAACTACAGCTTTCAGAATTTACGTAAAGTTAGGTCATTAATTTGGGAGTTTTAAAGCGTCTGCAAAGCAATTCGGCCGACGGAAAGTGTCTGGGAGTATTGGCGACTTATTTTTAAGGATATTGCCTAAAATATACGTAAAAATCAGCTTTCAGAATTTACGTGAGGTAGGAAATGATTTTATGTACCTTGAGTACCTGATACCTGAAAATTGGCCGTCTAAGCAAGGTAGCAGGTAGGCATGCGTTCTTACTGCATACTAACACTACGCAATCGGCCACATTTCGTTCGTCAGAAAATACGTGACGTCTGGGGGCCCTGGGATCTTGGATTATAAACCATCCATGGACCCACTCAAATACAATAAGTAAACAGTCATCGAAAACGTCAAAGCGCGTAAGTGTTCAGAGATAAACACACTTAGAAAATTCGTACATGGTCACGTACATATTCAAGGATAAAGATCTTCCCGTTGTATCGAAAGCAAATAATAGTTATACTAAAATAATAACTACGAAATTTTGATTTCAAATTTTGATTACTTAATATTACATTAATTTAATAAACATAATGTATAAATTATTACGTAAAGAACACTTTTGAATGCTTAATTTTAATTTTCCTATCTAAAAATTTGCTATTTATCCATTTTGATCTCAATTTTTATTTATTACGTTCAATTATTATTTTACATTTTTTTCTTTACAGCTAACATAAAGTATTAAAAAGTCATATGAATTTTCGGGTATCAATCTCCTTTCCCGGTTTATATACTTAGAACAATTAATGCCTGTAATCTCTGAAATTATGAAAATATTTAAGTAACCTAATACATAATATGAAGTAATTTAACAAAACCAAAACCTTTGTTGTTTTTTCGTGTGTCACCAAAGCACGGAGATACACCAGAGAATAACGCTGACTTCGCTTTATTTTTATCCACCTAATTTTTAACATAATTCAAATTTTATTATTACCTACCTTATTAGTAATTGAGATCAAAACCTACTTTCATCTAATAGTTAACGAGATATTTTAACAAACTCTTCCCTAATTTCCTTTGGAAACAAAAGATAAAATATATGATTAATTATCACTTTATTATACTTCTAAGATATGAATAGTTTATTATTTACATTTCGTTTATTAGGATGATGACGAAAAGGAATGGATGTCGAAAATTAATTTGCTTTCTAAAACATGACAACTAGTATTTTTGGAGCCTATGTCCCATTGTACATAATATGTCCAATTTTTGGAGCCTTTATCCCATTGTACATAATCTGTCCAATCTGATTATCCAATGAAGAAACAAAATTACGATTCATCGTAAAACGGTTTTCTGTTATTTTTTATTTTACTTTATTTCTTATGATAGGCATGTGCGAATGAGCACATAGGAAATCAGATTTTCAATGGTTATCAAAACCAATAGACGTCGTGATGTAAATCCCATCAGCCACCTTAAGACGAGCGGTTAAAGCCTTAATTGTAAATCGGCGGTCCAATCCTTCGATCCGGAACATATAACTGCTTTTTGGCAGAAATATGCACGATAGTGGACTGGAATTACCCACCCGTATTTCGATTTTCGATTTTTCTTTCGACTAGTAGTACATTTGGGAATTATTATTACTGAACTACGAAAACCACAACAATTGATGTCGTTGTCTTTAGTGATTTAAAAAAAAAAACATCGTAAGTATAATATGATCTGATAGTACATTGATTTTCATAACGAATATACGGTCCATAGCCACCCCATTATGAATGCCACCTCTGAGGCATGGAGTGGAAAATTTAATTTAAATAAACATTTAATTTACTAGGCTCCGCTTCCTTGAAATCCAAATGTACTTCGCGTCAAAAAAAAACCAATACATATTTAACAACAACATTTAAAATTTAATGGCAGTGTTATTATTTTATTACGTTTATATCAATCACCATATTTTCACAACAAAAATACTTTTTAAAGATAATATGTATAAGATTTTTTTGAGATGAAAGTTAACTCGTCCGACAATAACATACTATCTACTAGACTCTGTAGTCTATTCTGTCTATTCCGTCTAGTTACATAAAACGTCCTTTTCAATAATGACTAGTTGAAAAAAAAGGCTTAAAGTTTAATCTAGTGTAACAACAGGACCTGAAAACGATTGCATTTTTGCAAAAACGTCAATCGGTCAAGCTTTATCGGATTGTGCGTATAGAAAGACCGAATTTCGCGTCATGCCACTTATCATAAACAAATATATAAAAGGAAAATTTAAAATAATACATATAGTAGTTCGAAAACTAAAAAAACACACTTAAATAGAAAACCGAACCAGTTTTAAAAAAAAATTAAATTATCATTAATTATTTTCATTTTTTTCTTATCATGCTGATATTAGTCAGGATATCAAAGCGAAGTTATAAAATTATTGCATTGTCATCGGTCCTTGATGCGTGTGCAAGTTAAAACACAGACGGTTAGAACTCTGTGAAAATGACGTTGAAAGATTACGTTACATACAAACAAAAATATATATCATAGCTTGATAAAAGCGTGTCAAAAACAACAAAATACTATTTTTATTAAGAAATAAAATAACATAAGATATATTTACATATGACCAATGTATGTATGGTCGCCGATCGACTGCATTTGGTCCGAAATGTATTTTAGTATTTTTCAATCTAAACACTGTATGTACCTACTCTATTATTTACATTATCACAACACCTAATGGAGTTTGATCTCAAATTTAAATAATCGTCGTTTCGTTTATATTTCAATTTTTAATTACCGTGAATTTCGAACGTAAAAACAGTTGACCAACATATGGTCAATCGTTTGGAAGTATTCCGCGTTGGAGACAAAGGCCAACGCCAACATTTGATCCAGGACTCTGTGCTGAGCGGTCACACAGTGGTGACCCTGTCGATTTCAACGTAACGCACAGAGTCCTCGCTTGGTCAGCAAATCACTTCTTTCTCGTCGAAAATGGCGGTGTCTGAAGAGAGACTTTTCAATCTCTGCTGGAGCGCTGAACGACGACGCCGACACGACCTGGTAACTGCCACCTGTGGTTTTTGAAATTTAGTAATTAATTTATACATACATATAAACAAAACTAGACGATGACCGGTTTTTTTTATAACGCCATCTTGTTGTGTCTTTAAAGCGGTTAGTTGCCCTCAATTAAGAAAAATAGTATTATTATTCGCCAATAGATGTCGGGAAGAGTTGATTATTGAAAACACGAATAAAACAACATTTTCTGAAAAGAAATCATAGCTAGATCGATTTATTGCCCCCGAAATCCCCTGTATACTAAATTGTATGAAAATCGTTGGAGCCGTTTCCGAGATTCAGATTATATACATATATTATATTAATATACAAGAATTGCTCGTTTAAAGGTATAAGATTCTAGTGTCTGTTTGTAATATTGAAATAACTACTTTTTACTACATCCATATGAATATATATACGGTACATACACCAAAATAACATTTTTTACAATTTTTGTCTGTCTGTTTGTTTGTTCCGGCTAACCTCTGGAATGGCTGGGCCGATTTTGACGAGACTTTCACTGATAGGTAGCTGATGATATAACGAGTAACTTAGGCATTTTTTTTAGACTAGCTTTGCCCCGCGGCGTTACCCCAGGTTATTGTCGTACCGTAACATCGCGGGACTCATCTTCTATCAATAATAAAATTTAATGTTTCCGAAGCGAAGCGAGGGCAGATTGCTAGTCTTATATTATAAAATTCTCGTGTCACAATGTTCGTTACCATACTCCTTTGAAACGGTTTGACCGATTTTTATGAAATTTTATAGGCATGTTCAGTAGGTCCGAGAATCGGTTACTATCTATTTTTAATACCCCTAAGTGATAGGGTTGTCGACCCCTTTTTTTTTTTTTTTTTCCGGGTAGAGGGCCGAACCTCCTACGAGGTCTCCGCGCGCGGGGTATGTGAGACTCAACGATCTGCATGGTGCTGTGAGCAGACCGCGGGCCCAAGGATTTTAGGGCCCACCCACTAAACGAGGGTTGTCCACCCCTAACATTTATTTTTTATTTTTTTCTAATTAATTTTGTTATAATGAGGTATTAGGTATGTGGTTGAATGAGTTTTTTTTATTTTCATATTCTATCATTGTTCACAGCGCTACATGCCTCTTTCACTCATTTACCAAATCCTTACACACTTACATTAAGTTAGTTTTTTTTTCTACCCTAGAAATTAATTCCCTAGAAATCTTATATATGCCAAAACAACGTTTGCCGGGTCAGCTAATAATGTATCAATATAAATATAAATAAGTAATTAATGTCAGGCAGCGGCTTGGCTCTGCCCCTGGCATTGCTGACGTCCACGAGCGACGGTGACCACTTTCTATCAGGTGGGTCGTATGCTCGTCTGCCTACAAAGGCAGTTAAAAAAATATCAAACTTGTATAGTTTGTAGTACAAATAGGACTCTAACACTATCGCATTATTGTGTGTCCATACACAATTTTGATTTATATAATGGATACCTAAAAAGATAATTTATTTTAGTAAAACATTGGTTAATGTTTAAGATTTCTGTTTGAGTAGTGTTACAGACAATTGAGACATCGACCTCATGCTCAAGGGAGCAGTGTTCGCGTTGTGATACCTATAATCTGTGGTAAATATTAAAATTAAATGAAATAAATTTGTAGAAAATGAAATAGTGTGTACGCGCCATTAGCTGTTTTCTCTTGTGGTTTTTCCTAAATGACAGTTGAATTATTATTTTTCTGATATGAAGATAAAACGATTATTTGTTCCATTTTCTTTAAAAGACAACTCGATGTTTTAATATTTTACTTAGTAACATTCGAGTTCATCACATTTCGTAAAAATTGAAACATTGATATGGCCTACGACAAATTTTGAAAATCTTTTGATCTGAGACGATTACTACCAACGATTTGCGGAGGATCACCAAGCAGACACCAATAGCGAGGGAGATCCTTACGCGGAAGTAGCATTGGATTGATCAAACATTAAGAAAGCCCGATACCCACCTATCCAAGAGAGTGTTGACCTGGAAAATGTCTAAAGGAAGAGAGGCCGTCTCAGAACAACTTGGCGTCGCTCAATAGAACAGGAATTGGGCGTCTTGGGCATGACGCGGGAGGGAGTAGAACATATGTAACTATACTTGAGACCTTAGAACTTATATCTGAAGGTGGGTGGCGCATTTACGTTGTAGATGTCTATGGGCTCCAGTAACCACTTAACACTAGGTGGGCTGTGAGCTCGTCCTACCCATCTAAGCAATAAAAAAAACAACTATCCAAGAGAGCACTGATCTGGAAAGAGTCAAAAGGAAGAGAGGCCGTCCTAGACCAAGTTGGCGTCGCTGGATATAATTGGAATTGGGCGTCTTGGGTATGACGTGGGAAGAGACTGCCGAGACCGATGCAAGAATTTGATTCGAGCTTTTTTATTTATTGCTTAGATGGGTGGACGATCTCACAGCCCATCTTGTGTTAAGTGGTTACTGGAGCCCATAGACATCCACAACGTAAATGCGCCACCCANGAGGCCGTCCTAGACCAAGTTGGCGTCGCTGGATATAATTGGAATTGGGCGTCTTGGGTATGACGTGGGAAGAGACTGCCGAGACCGATGCAAGAATTTGATTCGAGCTTTTTTATTTATTGCTTAGATGGGTGGACGATCTCACAGCCCATCTTGTGTTAAGTGGTTACTGGAGCCCATAGACATCCACAACGTAAATGCGCCACCCATCTTGAGATATAAGTTCTAAGGTCTCAAGTATAGTTACACAGCTTAGATCCCAGCGGAAGGTAATAGGTAAGAAAGAAAGAAGTATGTGTGAAAACTGACCAGAGCGCAGCCGGTGAGTGCGGCAAAGGCCAGCAGCGCTAGTGCGTAGTGCGCGGGCAGACGCAGCAGCGCCGAGCAATGCGCCAGGCGCTCGTCGTCGCCGTGCGGACAGTGCGCCATGCCGTCGCACCACAGCGCCGCGGCGATGCACGCGTCCAGCGACGCGCACCGGTGCGTGCACTCGCCCGACAGCGCGAACACGCTGCCCGGCCCGCTTGCCTCTCTGAAACGTAAGACAGCCCAAACGGTTTGAAGGGACAGCCGTTGTACTGTCAAAACGCAGACCTTAGAACTCATATGCTAAGGTTGTAGATGTCTATAAGCTCTGGTAACCACATAAAATCAGTGAGCTATCGGTAAGCAGCACTTGGCTCTGCCCCTGGCATTGCTGAAGTCCATGGGCGACGGTAACCACCCACCCATCAGGCGAGCCGTATGCACGTCTGCCTACAAGGGCAATAAAAAAGGGGTCGTCCATCCACCTAAGCAATAAACAAAATTAAAATAATAAAGGCAGCTACAGTTACCATTGTACACACTATCATTTAAAACGAGGGTGGACGGATTTGTCTGCTCTTAACATCCTACCCGCAGTCTTCAGTCTGCCCGAGATCATGGCGTTTGAAATATAATCGAAATATATTCGGAACTCATATGTGAAAATCGTGGTATGAACTCATTGAATATAATCGTATGCAATATGGGCAATTAATTTAAAACAACAGTGACTGTAATTGCGGGCTAACACAACCGCCTTAACCTTCGGGCAGGCAGGGCGTTCATCTTATACAAAAAAATGTTGCTTTCTTGACATCACGGCGACTGCAGGCGAAGCTATACGTAAACAGTCCCTTAACTCGTTATACTTATCAAATTCACAGAAGGCGAAAGATGCAGGTATACCTCTTAGAGAGTTCTAGCCACGAAACAAAGTAATTTCCGGCTTCTACAGCGATGAGTTCAACAGCTAAAGAGCGCGGGAACTCCAAGTCGAAACGGTCAGGAGAAGGTCCGGGTTGTAGCACGTGTCGAGCAAGTTCGTCTACATCTTTAGACCAGCCTTCAGAGAAAATTTCTACTACCTCTTCTGTATCCTGAAAATTAGAGATACAAATATGATCTCTGTGGCTCTGCAAAATATTCTTAAGAAAACCTTAAAACGCCCGAAGAGAAATGCGCGCTGCACTGTTTTTGATTTTGTGTGATTTTTCGGTATCCAATGTGTTGACAAACTGACAAATTACGGATCACTGATTGTTGATTCAAAAATGTATTTATATTGTTCTGTACAGCAGTTCAGTTAGATTTAGGAGTAAAGTGAGCTACCCCGCACTGGGTCTTAGTGACGTATTAAATTATCCCAGAGTCTATAACTCCTTTTGTTGCAGGAAACCAGCCGGTATTCATTGGCCGCTAAGTAACTATGAGCTAATAAATAAAACACAAACAAAATCTTACAGAAACAATGAGTTATTATAATATGAATTCTGCGTTACGTCAATTAAACAATTCTAAGAGATGTAATATTATGACTGAATATGTTCTGTGAGAACTCTTTTTAATGATATACATCATTTTCGTCTGTTAAATCTAAGAGTAGAGTCTATTGGCATGACAACAGTAGGCAATCATCGACTTGTCATATTAATGAGAACTATAAATAATGGTTTATTATTCTGTTGAGGCTTATCTGTATTCATTGAAATCTTATCGATGTAAAAACTGAACAAATTCAGTATTTTCACTAAAAAAAGGTAGCCTTATCTGCTATTCAGTTATACTTCTTTCTTACTTGTTCAGTAGACCCAGGGCATATGTAAACGGGCATTAACCCTCCAGCGTAAACGGCGATTCTGTTTTGTGTTCTGCACAAGTGCCTTAAATCTGGTGCTACTGTGATATTGTTGAGAAGAGTAAAGTTGTCCAACGTTGGTTCACTGATGATTGATCCGCGCACTTGTAAGTAGAGATAATGACCCGGCGAGGGATCTATTAACCAAGGACGATGTTCACAATGCTCCTAAAATAAATTAAAGTGGGATTAGTCTCCATCTGCGGAATCTATTCGCCTACATAGGCAATTAAGCCACACAGATTAAGAGTTTCCAGTATCTTTTGTTTTTTGACCAAACTCTCGTGAAAAAACCCTAGAACACAATAACATAATTGCTGAAAGTCGTAACACGTAGGAGCGATTAACAGTTGCGTTTTTTATAGCTACTTGCAAGCAAGCTCACGGCCCACTTCGTGTCAAAAGTACTCAAAAGGTTACCGGAGCCAACAAACATGTGAATACCGCTACCTACCACCACCTAGAGATATAAGTCACTATGACGTCAGAGTGTCACTGGAATTGCATAACAGTTATGTCATAGTTCATTTTTTTATTGCTTAGATGGATGGACGAGCTCACAGCCCACATGGTGTTAAGTGTTTACTGGAACCCGTTAGTGCGCCACATACCTTGAGATATAAGTTCTAAGGTCTCAAGTATAGTTTTTTTTTTTTTTTTTTTATTGCTTAGATGGGTGGACGAGCTCACAGCCCACCTGGTGTTAAGTGGTTACTGGAGCCCATAGACATCTACAACGTAAATGCGCCACCCACCTGGAGATATAAGTTCTAAGGTCTCAGTATAGTTACAACGGCTACTCCACCCTTCGAACCGAAACGCATTACTGCTTCACGGCGGAAATAGGCGGGGTGGTGGTACCTACCCGTGCGGACTCCCAAGAGGTCCTACCACCAGTGATTACGCAAATTATAAAATTACGCAAGTTACATCTGAGCGCTGTTAAATCTACTCCGACGGTTCTACTATCAGTAATTTCAAAATTTACGGGTTTACCGTTATCAGGACTATACTAGAGTGGCAATGCTTTCCTATCTTGTCGTAAGAAGCGGGTCTTAAGGCGATGTACTCACAACCAAAAATATATAATGCATACTACACTAAGTGGCTTCTCGTGAAGCTTCACAGGGGGGAATCAAATCTATCGCCAGCCGCTTACACAATAGACATAATTAGGGTTACAAAGGGTAAGTACGACAAGTAAGCAATGTTCGTTGAACTTGACCGAACTGAAAAATATAATAATCATATTGTAGATAGTAAAACGTTCAAGGTATCTATGCTAACTAAAACTGATTCTTAAGTGGTCGCTTAAACTAAGCACTTTCTGGCTTCAAGTATGTTCTGAACTTACTGCTTCTGAGTCCGGTAATGTAGCGGATAATCTAAGTTCTCCACTGGCTCCGTACACTCGATGTGTACTTTCACAAACGGAATCGTATCTGACAAACTCTACAGACGCTTCGAATCCAAAAGATCGGAAGTCATCCGTCGCCGTCATATTCACCACATCGAATTTCAGCTCGGCCACAGTTGACGAAGACACGAACTCGTAGTCACCGACGTCACTGAAATAGTTGAAACAGTAGCACTTAGATCTTATTGGAAGAAATACAAGATGCTACTATCAAATGTGTTCTTGTTTATTTGATGCCGCTTCAAGCGTTTGCTTGACATAATTGATATTCGATATCAGAGTTGTTAATAAGTTACTGTTTTCCGATATGTCAAAAGGATTGTTAATAAACAGACTACTAACCTGCACAAGCAATCTCTCGGTATCCCAGAGCCAATGTTTTTCCAAGGTCTGTCGAATATCCTCACAGCTGCTGTGAGGTCACCGGNGTTCTTGTTCATTTGATGCCGCTTCAAGCGTTTGCTTGACATAATTGATATTCGATATCAGAGTTGTTAATAAGTTACTGTTTTCCGATATGTCAAAAGGATTGTTAATAAACAGACTACTAACCTGCACAAGCAATCTCTCGGTATCCCAGAGCCAATGTTTTTCCAAGGTCTGTCGAATATCCTCACAGCTGCTGTGAGGTCACCGGCGCATCGATACCAGGGTGCGTGGGCGGAATGCACCGATCGACACAATCTGCCACCACTTCGAACACCCCAAACCCTTAGTCTGACCACTTCACCAGGATTTGCTTCGAAGCGATACGTGCAACTAGAATCAGAAAATAAATTATAATATAAAAGGTTCTTAGCTATTTTAAAGCCTTAAAATACTAGATATTTGTATATTTAAGTTAATTCTGACAATGGACGCCGATATTAGTAACACAAATCGACAATTTAATAATACATAGAAATATTCCTACCTAATATTTCTCGCACCACCTCGTCCATACAAGAACACGTCTCTCGGTGAAGAAAAATTAATGGGTGGATCGGGAGGGGCTTCGGGAAAAGATCGTGATGCAAATCGTCGAGAACATGGACCACGACCCCAAGGATCACCATCTTGGTGTAGATCCACAAATTCGTATAATGCCTTGAAGAACATTGGTCTGAAATTGAAAACCAGTACATAAACAACGGTACAGGCAAAAAGATACCATTCAGCAGCTACTCTAGCACACAAAAAATCATTCATGTCTTTTACTCCATAGTTGAAATTTAGTTTACCATTTGACGTACGAATAATGGTAACACGTGACTTTATTCAACAAACGAGTGTACCAACATTTAGTCTTATCAGATTCACAAAGTATACTTATTTTTCTTGTGTAGTGCAAATGAATGGTAGATAAATATTCAATAAACGGGTGGCTGAGAAAACAGGACCAGTGGTTCATGATAGACATATGGATGAAACAAAATCACTAACTTCAAAGCTGTTCCTTGAGTTAACTTCAATTCCAAAGTCAAAGAATCCCCCTTGGAAAGGAAGCTTTCTGTTTTCGTGCAGGCTCTGGATTTTTTCAGCAGTGCATGTTCGCATGTTCTGGGTGCTCTTTCCCTGCAGAATCTGGCTATGAGTGTTGCATTCGTAGGAGGTCGACCCACAATTACTGATTGGGGGGATGTGGCTCTTGACATTTGGACTGACCGCTCTTTGTCACTGAAAGGGTCGTAAGAACCTGTTTAATCTATTTGTTTTTAATTAATGTAAGAGATTGAGATCTCTACAAATATTTTTTACAGATATATTTTATCTAACAAAACGTATCCGATAAAATGTGAAAAGCAAGCAGCATTACTCAAAATCAGTGAAACTAAAAAAAACATCCTCACCAAAATATATCGCTGCAACCAGGCGATATTCTCATCGGACCATCCCATATATTAAAATGGCTTCCGCAGTATTCGTCCTCGGGCAAGTTAGGGTTCAGAGCGTTGGTCACATAAAATTTCAATACCGAAAACCAAACCCTGAATCGTGGAGCCGAAAACGACGGCCGTCTGTAAATTATGTGGCGTCCCGAAGGCCCGGAGGTGTCAATCCCTTGCATGTGATAAAGGCACGTGGTGTTCGGCGGTAAAGAATGTTGCGGATGCTCCAAAACACCTCGACCTGTCCCTCGGATCCAGAATTCGCAAGTTCTCTTATTTTTCGCATATGTAGGCGACTGTTGATCAACGAACCTGACCTAAAATTGATTAATATTATGATAACCGTAACAAGGACCCTCGGCGTCGTTAATCAAAACTAATGGACGAACGAGGTAACGGGAGCGGTGCTATTTTAGGAAGCCAATTATGTCGTCCTTATTTCGAGATTAATAATGAAATCAATGGCGCAGTTGTTAAATTTTCCCTTTTTTTCCTTTTCCAATTAAAATTTTAAGGGTAAAAATTTTGGGGTCGCGTCCCGAATTCATAGGTTTAAACAATGTGGACGAGTTCTCTTGTTCCATTACTATGTCCATGCGAGCCTGCGTTACTAATTACACTTTGGCAGAGACCCAACCTACGCCTCCGGGGCACTGCTTGATTTATTATTATTCACTGCAAACGAACGTTTTAAACATCACGATAATACATTAGTCCATTAACCTAATTTTAAAGCAACGAGTATACGGAAAGATTACAGCGAGTCTAATGTTGGAGGGGTAATAGTGGTTTAGTTGTTCCTAATGAATTCAAATGCAGCCAGATTTAAAAGAAAAACACTATTTGCAACTCGTGCTCAGACATTTGGATTGCAACTTAAAACTAATTCGATCCTTATAATGAAAAGCTTTTAGCAATCGTAGATATTTTAACGAGGATTCGATTAACAGGTTTAAAAAAATCTGGGATTCTCAATGAGATAGAAAAACTATCTTCGATGTTAATTACAGTTTGGATGATTTCCAAATTATGAGTGGACTATTATTATGGAGTATTTTCTTAAAAAAATATTCCCATACTTTTACACGTTTACGAGAGAACGCTTTGAGTTTTAGAAAAGAAATGTTTTTTTTATTTTTTTATTGCTTAGATGGGTAGACGATCTCACAGCCCACCTGGTGTTAAGTGGTTGCTGGAGCCCATAGACATCTACAACGTAAATGCGCCACCCACCTTGAGATATAAGTTCTTAGGTCTCAGTATAGTTACAACGGATACCCCACCCTTCAAACCGAAACGCATTACTGCTTCAAGGCAGAAATAGGCGGGGTGATGGTACCTACCCGTGCGGACTCACAAGAGGTCCTACCGCCAGTAAATTATCCACCAATTATCACCAGTTATCTTTGAAACTAATATTATTTTGAAAAACAAATGATGAAAGCGTCTTTAAAGTTTCTAATGAACCTGTAGAAAAACGAATGAACAATTTATGATTGATATATATGATTGATATAATGTTAAACAATAAATTATCTTATCATTTATTCAAATTCTAAATATGTACTACAACTGTATAATAATAATAATTATTATTATTTTTTCGAAAATGAAATACCTACTTCGACTTCAAGTTGAAACCCGTGTAGTGATTGTAAAGTTGCTGGCTGAAGGAATGTGCCAAATGGGGACGTAGTGAATTCGACTAGTAACTCAGGTCCACTCGATATCGCTTCCGGGACAGCCACACCGCCTCCACAAAACCTTAACACGACAGGGTCTCTAGTTGTGTAGCCATCGTATACCGTAACGTAATCCTGAACCTCGTCACACTGTTGCCAAAATTTCAGCTCTCTTCCGTTGTTGCCCCGTTCTTGTTGGGCTGCATACAAAGCTTTCTGACTCCTTATAGATATCAGCTGCCCGTTAGGCTGTTTCACCACAATCAAGGCGTGTTTACCCTGAGGCACCTCGTGTTGTCGCACAGCATAGTAACACGTCAAGTTTCTCGGGTAAACGCCAGGGAAATTCGGTGATTGTAACCTACAGTTTTTACGATCGCAGTCGCTGAATATCCGGGAGCAATAAGTTCCGGAGATCAAATCCCCGAGGTAATACTCGGGCGTTCGTGTCGACCTTGCATTCGTATCTTCGCGTGAAATGTTTACGGGGACGGCTATAGGTCTCAGTTTGAAAAAGGGACGTTCTGAAATGAGAAATGGTTATTGCTTAATGTTGACGTCGTATTTTACGGCGACGACATTTGCAAATGAAATTGGAACGTGCTGTAATAATGTCGTCACGTGTAATAAACTAAATATTGTTTTACCTAATAGAGGCGTACCGCCGTATCTGACTGTGGCGTGCTCTCTCCGTAGAACTTTGTATGCCATTCTGAAATCGAAATTATAATTGTTCTGTTCTTTGGACAGATGAAGAAGCCTTATGATGAGAGTTATCGATTTTGTTTCGCTGTAGTAAATCGAAGGACCCCATGAGGTGCCGCACCAAGAGCCTCCGACTTGAGGTCTACTTGCTTCTTGTATTTGCATGTAGCCATCGGGGCAACCGTCTTCTGTGAATGATGTAAATCGACCCAGGGTAAAACTATCAAATAACACCTGAAACAAAAAGGAAATTTTGAAATTTTCCGACATGATAATAAACCTGTTTTTATTTCTATAATTTCACTTAAATTTTATATATACTTTAAAAGTTTAACAGTCCAAATGTAACGACAAAACATTAAGTTGAGACTACGAATTCCATAGTTATTCAAATTTCTACTTTATTTCAAAAGGTATACGAGATATTTAAAATTTTAAAACCATTCAGCGAAAGTTTGAGAGTGAAGTAAATTTACAAAACGGTTATGTAATAAAAAAGCTATTAGAAAAACGTTAGGTACTAGATTTCTTGAATTTTTACACGAAAACTTTAGTGAAATTACTGATTATGTTCGCATAAACTTCGCTTTTTTCTTTTGTAACCTAAATTCCTAAATTTCTCTTCTCTGTTCTCTTTCTACTTATATGTGATTTTGATTGTGGAAACATATTTGGTTATTGTTTTAGCTATTTTTTTTCAATATTATATGTTTGTATTGTACTCAAATAAATAAATAAATAAAGATTTCAACAAGCAATGTTACATAAATATCTAATCAAAATAACCTATTAAACTATCTGTTTTAAATTGTAAAATATTATAATATAAATAATTCCAAGAGAACTCTTTGGATGTTTTCGTTCAAACACTTAAAGATAGCTCATAAAGGTTTATCTACAAACTAAACATTTTTATCTCAAGTGCACGTTTGGCTGAACACTTTATCGAATATTATTTTTTATATTCTTTATTTCTCTTTCTTCTTTTTGCCTAACGTTAAATTAAATTTTAATATTCTCAAACGTCACTCCGAGCCGTCAGCGAGATGTCATTGCAATACCTTCCCTAATTGAAAAATATAAGACGCATTTCGAATTACTAGTGGAGCCCCAGTAGTCGATATTCGACGATAATTAATTGAAATTATAAGTTTGAACATTATTATGGAGCTATTGTCAATGACTTATTATACGTCTAATCACAGATTTCGATAAGATTACACTATAGACAATAATATTAAAGACAAACTATATTATTATCAATTTGATCACAGACTTTAAACAGCAACGAAAGTTTCACAATAAACACAGTCTATATAATATATGTATATGTGTTGTGTCAAATACTTGGTAATGTTTTTTTTTAATTGATTTAATGTGTTATTTATTCATAATAAAAATAAAAAATAAAACATTCTGCACTCCTTCTCTATATTCTCTATAAGTGTGGGAAATTTCATACTCCTCCATCTGCGCAATTTTCGTAAAAAAGGGTACAACATTTTTGCTTCACGTATTAATATATAGATACTGACAAGCTCTAATTAAAAAAAGGCGGGCATGTGCTTATCAGAACAGACACGGAACCCTTTCGAAGTCAAAACGATCGTTCAAATACACATTCGGCTTATCCAATGTCCCTGAATAANTATAAGTGTGGGAAATTTCATACTCCTCCATCTGCGCAATTTTCGTAAAAAAGGGTACAACATTTTTGCTTCACGTATTAATATATAGATACTGACAAGCTCTAATTAAAAAAAGGCGGGCATGTGCTTATCAGAACAGACACGGAACCCTTTCGAAGTCAAAACGATCGTTCAAATACACATTCGGCTTATCCAATGTCCCTGAATAATATTATGTGAACGAAAATATCTTTACATTTTCATTTACCTACTTGCCTTTTTTGTTATCATTATATTAATGACGACGTTTTGAAAATTCTAGCTTTCGTGGTCACTCACGGACGACTAAGGTATTCGGGAAGGAGTAAGGAATCCGTCGCATATCAATTTCTGTGCTAATTTTCTGTGATAATGCTCTGCTATCTTTATCTTTAAAGTTTTAATTATGCCTACGACTTATAAAAACCGCAGATAATACCATACTGCAACGTTCAACCTGATAGTTAAAAAGCTGAAGGGCAAACATTTTACGACTGTACCGAGAAAATAAAATGTCAGCCCTTATGACTATAAAAACTTAATAGTTTATTCCCACCACTTGTGAATTCGAATTGTTCTCAGCCCTTAGATGTAGTGGTAGCTCTACTTTTTTCACAATTTTCACAAAATTTCATAACAGGTCAGATAGACTATTGATTCACTAATATGTAAAAGAAAACATTAACACGTCATCGAAATAATCAAAAACTTTTTTATTTAGTAATCTATGCCAAAAGTTTGTTCTTTATTAGTAAAAATATATTAATATTTTTCAATTATATTTTTTTTAATTTCTGGAAATCCACAGTCAATATTCAAATACTTCTTTGTGCTCTGAATTTGCTGGCTTCAAACTCGAGAATAGTTGACCGAAATGGCCGAGAGCGGCAAACGTAATTTGATGGCGTGAATTGCATTCTCGCTACCGGAACACCGAGATAAAGTGTTCGAGAGGATTTGACGCTTTCAGAATTTACGAACAGTGTAAGTAAACGAAATTTGATTTTGAAATAATCGCAATCTATGCTAACTACTAGAGGTCCCGCAGTAGTCGAAATTCGACTATAATTAATTGGAATTGTAAGTTTTTACACTATTATGATTGTATTTTGTACTTCTATAATCACAAATTTCGCGAAGACTACACTATAAAAAATATTAACAAAGACAAACAATATTTAATCTATTCTCAATTTGACAACAGACGTCAAGAACAAAGGTTTGACAATAAATAGTTTGCATGCGTGTGTGCGTCAAATACACGGTATGTAGTGTGTGTAATGTTTTCTTTATTGATTAAATGTATCTTTTATGCATTATTTAAAAAAAATATTAGCATTGTGCACTTCTTCTCTATATTCTCTATAAGTGTGGAAAATTTCATACTCCTCCGTCCGCGCAATTTTCGTAAAAAGGGATACAAAGTTTTTGCTTCACGTATTAATATATAGATATTTGATCAATAAAACTGAATTACTTAGGCGTGCCCGACTACGAACAATAGTGGTATCACTCTATCAAGTAATCAAAATAAAGAGAACGTATATATTTTTTTAAGTTAAAAAACACTAAATCACATAAACTGACCCTGGAACTTCGATTTTCATTGGTTTTAGTTCTCATTTATACCCTAAAACTAATCTGTACTGCCGTTATACTGTTAAAACTGAGACCTTACAACTCGATTCTCGAGGTGGGTGGCAGTATTTATGTTGTAGATGTCTATGGGCTCCGGTAACCACTTAACACCAGGTGTACCGTAAGCTCGTCCACTCATCTAAGCAATTTAAAAAAAATAAACAGCCTAATGCCATAAAAACAGTTTTTTTGTATGTTCTAAGGAAAAATCGTAGATAACAATGTGATATTTTTATAACTACGTCATAATCATATATGAGACATATGGATAGATAGTGGTATCAAGTTTACCCATTACCGCTCCAACGCTACATGACGATCACGACCACACTGTCAAGAGTGCAAGTCACGATTGAGAAGAAGAAAATAATATGTAAATTAGTAGTTAGTATGTACAATATTCTTTAATTAATTCAATTTAAAGCATTGATTAACATTTATTCAATCCCCGTAACGCAGACGACCACACGAACCATTTGAGAATTGGCAATTAATAGCCTTCATAGTAGCTGTCTCACCCTTCAAATGATAGCTACTGGTTATTTCACGGCAGATATTCTAGAAAGAGCATAACCATCCCAAAAAAGAATTATAAAGTTAAAAACACTCGCTGAAGACCTTATCATGAATTCTGATTGAATAAAATTTCAACATCCATTTTCGTTCCGACTTTATCTTCACATTATTAATAATAATTGCTTCGAAAGGCAAACATTAGAAACGGGATGTGTCGCGACAGGCTATACCGTAACACGTTTCCTTCATATTTGATTCCCCGGAGCAGAAAATACAATTTTACAGTCAGACTCCCGGGCGGATCTTTGATAAAATTTCAATGTTGCACGGAAAACCTTGTGACGTTTCAATTTATATCCCTTGAATATTGTATTTGGAGATCTTCTAGTTTAGTTTCAAACAAATTCAGTACATACAATTACTGTAGGTGATTAATACTGTTGTGACTACAACAAGTTTAAGTCACAATAGAAGTTTTTAATATTGTCTATGACTAAAGACATAATGTAGTTTGTTCTTTTAGTATTATAAAGCAGTATAGTAGTATTATACAGCTATTTACGAAGTCCTATAATAATAATAAAAAAAATATTTACTAACAATCACGCCACGTTAACTGGTCCCGTGATAAGTTCGTAAAGAACTTGTGTTACAGGTACCAGATAACGGAAATAAATGTAAGATTTTTATTATACACATACATATATTGAATATACATCCATAACCCTGGAAAATACATTTATATTTATCATACAAATATCTTCCCTTGACGGGATTCGAACCCGCGACCCCCTTGTGTAGTAACCATGTCACTTACCACTACACCAGGCGGCCGTTATAAAAGTCATAATGGCTATTCAATGATGGCTGTTAACAATCTTCGCGTTTAGCCGATCATGAAAGTATTAGTAGTGAATATATTTCACAAACATGACAAAGATTAGACGTGGGCCTTCGATCAACAATAATAGTTTTTGATCGAAGACGTGGGCGATTATAGAATCCATTAATATAGATAATTGTCAATTAATAACAACATTCATCTATATTTGTTTGATAAAGTTTAACCCGGGATTGAAGAGATTGTTTTCACTCAAATGAGGAGGGAGCTTCAAAATGCATTTCATTAAATAATATAAGACTTAATATAGGTATTATTAAATAATTTTTCTAAGCTATACTTATAGTATTACAAAACTGAAGAGTTTGTTTGTTTGAATTTGCTATTCTCAGAAAATACTGGTCCGATTTGAAAAATTCTTTCAGTATTAGATAGCCCATTTATTGAGGAAGGCTGTAGGTTATATAATATTACGCTAAAACTAATACAAGTGGGGCACCAATAAATAACGTTTCAAAATCGTGTTTTTTTTCCTTTTGAGAGCTACCGTTGCGTGTGCTGCAGAAACGGTT